TCACCCACAGAGCAGGGCCGATCAGGGGGTTGGGGCGCCGCCACTGTCACACTCAGGGCAGGGCCAATGGGGAGGTTATGGCTCTACCCTGTCACACACAGAGCAGGGCCTGTGCGGGGGGCGAGGGGGGGCGTTGGGGCGCCGCACCCTGTCACACACAGAGCAGGGCCGATCAGGGGGTTGGGACGCTGCACCCTGTCACACACAGAGTTGCAGGGTGATCAGGGGGTTTGGGCGCTGCCCCCTGTCATGCTGATCCGGTGCCAGGAGGCCTCGCGGCTCCACTGATCCCGGTGCTGGGAGGCATATTACCCTTTTACTATATAGGATAGAGGCCTGGGGGCCGGCTGGTTTGCCCTGAAGGGTGCCCTGGATCAGGGTGGGAGTCCCCACTGGGGTGCCTGGCCAGCCTGGATGAGGGGATGATGGCTGTTTGCAGCTGGTCACACACCCTTCAGGGTGGGGTTCCCCACTGGGGTGCCTGGCCAGTCTGGGTGAGGAGCTGAGGGCTGCTTTCAGTTAGGCAGTTGACTGAAGCTCCCAACCGCTCCTTTTTTTTTCTCTTTTTCTTTTTTTTATTCTGGGCCAGCTTTAGCTCTGGCTCTAGCTCTGAGGCTTCCGCTGCTGAAAGCTGGTATCTGGTTTTTTTGCGTTCTATAATCGAAACAATGTATAACTCCAGCTCTGAGATCCCGGCGGCTGAAAGCTGGTTTCTGGGGTTTTGTTTAGCTTCTATATTTGTTACAATGTTTCAAACTGCCAGGTCAGAGGCCGGCAGCGGCAGGTGGGGAACGTTGGAGTCCGCCAGTCACTGGAGCAAGCAAGCCTCCCTGTTCGCTTCAGTGCATGGCTGCCCGCCGCCATCTTGGTTGTCAGTTAATTTGCATATACTCACTGATTAGCCAATGAAAAGGGTAGCGGTCGTACGCTAATTAGCATGTTTCTCTTTTATTAGTGTAGATGGTTCATCTGATTCGATTTTATATAAGCTTGAATATTAAAAAATCCTTTTTTTAAAATATATTTTTATTGATTTTTTACAGAGAGGAAGGGAGAGAGATAGAGAGTTAGAAACATCAATGAGAGGGAAATATTGATTAGCTGCCTCCTGCACACCCCCCACTTGGGGATGTGCCCACAACTAAGGTACATGCCCTTGACCAGAATCGAACCTGAGACCTTTTAGTCCGCAGGCCGACGCTCTATCCACTGAGCCAAACTGGTTACGGCTAAAAACTTCTTTAGATTGTTTAATTTATTTACTTTGTTCCTTAAGATCAGACTTAATCGAGAGTTTATGCCTCTGTTATTTTATGAAAAATTAGAATTGGTCTTCGTTCTGGGGTGTTTAATTTGTAAAATGCCACGGAACCTAATTGTTATAAACATTCTATAATATAAAGAAACTACCTACCTAAGGTGTCAAGCTAGTGTTCTTCACTAAGTGTTTTTCAACATAGCTTTCTCTCTTGAACTTAAAACAATCTTTTAACTAGCTCCCATTCCTGCAGATCCTAGCTTAAATGTCACTTTGCACTAGTGAAAGTGATACTGTCCTTGAAATCCTTTTCCTATTTATATTTCCTTTAACACATTGTACTTTTCCTTTATAGCACTTATCAACTTTACAATTTATTTTTAAGGACTCTTTTATTGGTATCTCTATCCCCTACTAGAGTGTAAACTCTGCAATGTCAAGAACAGTATCTATTTTATTTACCATTGTTCCTAGTGCCAGGCACTCCATAAATACATTTTAAGTTACTTAATGAACAAGATGTCCTGCTCTTTTATCTCTCGTTTTTGTTCTATACCAGCATTTCCCAAAATATATATTAAAAGTTCTCCATGAACTATTAATAGATATTTTCTGAAAGAAATGATTCTGTGGTCATAGGTTTGGAATGGCTATATGAAGAATCACAATTTACATTAGCATGTTAAAATCTCTCAATTTTAAAGTAGAAAAATCTAAATTTAGAATCTAGCATTCTCTACTTTTTTTTTTACTACCAAACTCTTTATTCTATGATAAAGGAACATTTTTAATCATTAAGGAAAGTGATTTTATATATGATATTTAAGCTCCCTTTCTCTCCTCATACAAAAAAAATTCAAATATAAACATAGATTTAGCATTCTAAATTTGAGCATTCTATTCAAAATGCAAACTAACCACTGATTCAAACTGGCCAAGGCAAGATAGGTGATTTTAAAATTCAAAAGGGATGTTAAGTTACTACAAGGAATGATGGGAATATATGTTGTTGTAACCTCATATACCCTTTGAGCACTTCCATTTGTAAGTTGTCCTATATACACTTTAACAAGTTCACAACAATGTCTTGTATATAATAGTGCAGGAGTGGTTTTTGCAGCATTCGTGGAGAAGGATTGGCATTTAGGTTGTTCATGCAAGTTTAATGTTTAACCCTTTTGTTTTTTTTCTTATCAGTGTCTAGTTAAGTAAATTATGGTATCTCTATATAGTGGAATACAGTGCAGCTGTTGTGAAATCTGTAGAAGTGTTAGTATGGAAAGATCTCCAGAATATATCAAGTAAACCAAGGGATAAAGCTCTGTATGTTGCATAGAATACTATCTGTAAGTAAACACACACACACACACACACACACACACACACACACACACACTAGAGGCCCAGTGCATGAAAATTCATGTACTGGCGAGTGGGGGGTCCCCTCAGCCTAGCCTGCCCCCTTTCACAGTCCGGGAGCCTTTAGGGGAGGCCCGCAGGGAGCAGGCCTAAGCCACAGTCTGGCCTCCCTCTGCGGGAGGCGACTGCGCCCACCTGGGAAAGGCGCCTCCCCCAGCACCCCACCACTGCTGATGCTGCCGGCCACCGTGGCCACCTGCCCTCGGCCCTTGCAGCTGCTACGACTTTGTCCGGAAGGACGTTCAGGAGACATCCGGTCTATCTGGTCTAATTAGCATATTACCCTTTTATTAGTATACTAGAGGCCCGGGGCACGAAATTCGTGCACTGGGGGGTGGGGTTCCCTCAGCCCAGTCTGCCCCTTTCACAGTCTGGGAGCCCTCAGTGGATGTCCTACTGACGGCCACAGTCTGGCAGCAGAGGCTCGGAGCAGGCGTTCCAGTGTGTGTGTGTGTGTGTGTGTGTGTGTGTGTGTGTGTCTGCTGGGGCCTGCCCCCAGCCACACCACGTAGGCTCGGAGCAGGTGTGTGTGTGTGTGATCTCTCAAGGCTCCTGGGCCTCCCACTGTGTGTTTGTACTTTTCCCTTGAGCTGTGGGCCAGGGTGGGGGTGCTGCTTGCAGGGCCGCGCTTTTCCTGCTCACGGAATCGCCGGGATTGCCGCGGAGACCCGGGGGGCCGGCCTTCCTGGGTGCTGCTAAAGCGGCACTTTCCTGCTCTGGGTCGCCATGTGCCCCAGGAGCAGGCCCCCCTGGGGCTGCCTCCCTCTGCACTTCCTGCTCTGGGATCGCCATGGCGACCAGGAGCAGGCCCACCTGAGCCTGCCTTGCAGGCCGCACTTTACTGCTCTGGGATCCCCACGGTTGACTCAGGAGCAGGCCTTGCTAGGTGCTGCCTACAGGCCTCGCTTTCCAGCTCACCAATCGCTGGATCGCAACGGCGACCCGGGGGCAGCACTTTCCTGCTCTCAGATTGCCATGGGGTCCCGGCTGGGGGCGGGGCTTAGGCCGCACACGGGAGTCCCAGCTGGGGGTAGGGCTTAGGCGGCGCAGGGCTTAGGCAGCACATGGGGGTCCTGGCTTGGGGCAGGGCTTAGGCAGCATGGGGCTTAGGTGGCACATGGGGGTCCCGGCTGGGGGCGGGGCTTAGGCGGCACATGGGGGACCCAGCTGGGGGCGGGGCTTAGGCGGCACACGGGGCCTGGATGTCGGCTCTTGCTGTCCCACCCTGCCTGCAGTATGCAAATTAGCCGCCATCTTTGTTGGCAGCTAATTTGCATATCACGCTGATTAGCCCATGGGGCGTAGCAAAGGTACGGTCAATTACCATCTTTGTCTATTATTAGATAGGCTCTATCTATCTATCTATCTTTAACAGAGGCTACTTATGAGGACTGGATTTTTTGTTTTCATACTGTTGGAATGTTTTTCATCCTTGAACTTTTATTTTATATATTTAAGAAAACAGTTAAAATTTAATAAAATGTTTACCAAAATTCAGTGATTATAAGGCTATATGAGAACTTGGTATTTTGATGGCAGTTGGTAGTATCACAAACTGGCAAAATCATCCTTCATGGTGACTAAATCAAAGCTTACTTTGAGCAACTGTTATGACACACATCATATTAACCATTTTATATACACTTGCCTTATTTAAATCTCTAACTAGGCCTATCACGTAGATTCTATTTCTCACTTACTGGAAGAAATAGATTTAGAAGACTGAAGTATCTTGTCAAGAGACATAAAACTCCAGAGCCTGTGCTTTCAATCCCTACACTTTAGTATTGTTCAAAAGGGGTCTGAAAATTAGTTTTTTGTTTTTTGAAGGTTATTATCCCAGACAAAAGACCAGGTTTGAATCTGTATCCATTTCATCAAGTAAAAATAGTGTATTCACTATCCTTCTTTGAAAATATCATATTTGTATGGAAGTGAGTAGGCGATTAGAATCAAAATATTTTTTAGTCATAGCCTGCTCTGTTCATACAAGTTTAATGTTTTAACCCTTTTGTTTTGAATTTCCTCTGTAAAATGCAAACTTGAAATAACAGTTTTAGTCAGCTTTTGGAATTTTGTATAATTTAACTGTTAATTTCAATGGAATACTTTTTTTTAATTTGAAGAAATGTACAATGTGTCGAAAAAAATCTTTCTACCTAAAATACTTGTACTACTAACTGTATTGTTAGCAACATCCTTTCAAGACTACTAAAGTCCCTCTATTTTAGAAACAAATGAACAAAAGTCTCTTTATAATGCTATACATTCTGTTTGCTTTTTAAAAAAATACATAAACTTACCTATTTCCCCCTCTTTTTAGGAACACCATCTTCAACGGGCTATTTCAGCACAGCAAGTGTATGGCGAGAAGAGGGATAATATGGTTATACCTGTCCCAGAGGCAGAAAGTAATATTGCTTACTATGAGTCTATATATCCTGGGGAATTTAAGATGCCAAAGCAGCTCATTCACATACAGCGTAAGTATCTACTCTCTTAATAATTATCCTATATAATCAAAGGGTAATATGCAAGTTGACCCTAATGGCGGAACGACCAGACTGACTGCTCAACCAATCACTATGAGGCGCACTGACCACCTCTCAGTCCCATTCCCTGGCTGTCAGCCTCCCATTGCCTGATGGCAAATGGGGAACCACCCAGCGGCAGGGGGTGGGGCCAACTGCAGGCAGCCAGGGAAAGATGGCCCTAATCACAGGCCAGGCCTTGGGACCTTATCCGCACATGAATTTCATGCACCAGGCCTCTAGTATTTTCTATATTTATCTTCCAATGTAACTCTTGACAGATTTTTATCTGTTCAAGGCCATTTTCAGTACCCATTTCATTGACCAGCATTAATGAAATGAGCATTATTAAAGCCCATTTTCAACTTTTAAAATTGTGTTTGAGATTTCTGCCTGACAAAAATGATACCATTTTTATCCTAGATTTTTAGTTCCATCTCAACATGGGATCTTATGATACTTTACACAAATGGTATAAATGATATGCCTCAGATATAGAAATGGTTTTCTTACTGTTCAGAAACTGTAATGTTAATAGTCTTAAAGAACATCTTAATGTCAGTCAGGAATTGGCAAACTTTCTGTAAAGGTTCAAATAGTAAATGTTTTAGGCTTTGTGAGTCTTTTCTGTCATTTGTTACATGTATTCAACTCTGCTGTATTTCGTAAGGCAAAATCAGCAATAGACAATACATAAACAAATGGACATGGTTGTGTTCCCATACAACTTTATTGACAAAAAAAAAAGATGGCAACCTAGTATTGGCCTGCAGGCCATATTTACCAGTCCTTGATCTGTGTTTCTATTTTTTTTTTAATTTAGTGTTCTAATTGTTTTACTTGGTAGTGATAGGTTCTTCATTAGAAATTGTCTTTCTTTTTTAATGATTTTATTGATTTCAGAGAGAGGAAGGGAGAGGGATAGAAACATCAATGATGAGAGAGAATCATTGATCAGCTGCCTTCTGCACACCTCTTACTGGGAATTGAGTCCGTAATCCGGGCATGTGCCCTGACTGGAAATCGAACCGTGACCTCGTGGTTCATGGATCAACACTCAACCACTGAGCCACACTGACTGAGCTAGAAATGATTTTTCAATAGCTATCACAGATGATGCTAAATAGCTGAGAGCTTGTAGATTTAAAGGAAAATGTACTGTATATTTCATTCTCTTAATCCCCAAGTAGTTGACAACTTAAAACATAGTTGATCGGTACTAAGGTAAAATTGCAACAGCTTTCATTGTTGTCTTGCTGACCTTTATAATCAAGAGGTTTTTCCAGGGGACTTTCTAAACTTTATTCAGGACAATATAAATCTATTTTGTTTTTATTATTCTTTCTAAGGACACAGAGAAACTATTTTTAACTAGTTTTTATCTCATTAACTACTTTTCTAACTCATTTAACTTTTTCTCCACATGATCTAGTTTTTGTCCTGAGTTTTAAACATTTATTTTATTATTTCTTAAATATAAAAACCAAAAGTAAACATAGTGGCCATATTGGTTCTTATCAGTACTATACTGGCAGTTGATTTGATTTTAAGTTTGTTAATCCTCTCATGAAAAATCTGTACAATCACCACAGATAAAGTCACTGAAGAATCTTTACTCCTTTTTACAGCACCTGCATTGACCTTTGCAGTCCCCCTGACTTTCTTCATTCTGTTTTTATGTTCCTTTTGATGTTTTCTTGAGGTCTTCTTTTCAAACAGGCCATGTCTTGTAAGTCTATGTTTGGGTTCATTTTTCTTTGTATAATCCAGGGAATCAAATTATGCCAAAGCCAGTTGTCTTACACTCACTACCAAAATGGATTCTGAATCCAAATATAAAGATGGCATCTGTTGTGGTCTTGTACATTTTGGCTAGTTTTTTTTCAAACTTTTGTGTTAAGTACTATTGCCTTCCCTTGGCAAAGGACATCAATGACCATGTGTTTCCGCTGAAATAGTTTGTTGGTCAGGAACTTCCTGGTCTGGATAGTTAATGTCGTTCACGATGGCAGCCCATCTTCGAGCAGACAGGGAGGAAAAGAGCTGGCTCATGTCTACTTCATTATGTTGAACACCTGAAACTATCATAGCCAGAGTGACTTTAAATTCCTGAATCCATTTTTGAGTCCAGAGTGCCTTTTGTTTCACAAAATCTTGACCCATACATTTCAGGCCCTACCTATTCCCTCAGAGATATTTCTAGAGGCTGCAAGTCCAAGATCGGGGTGCCAGCATGGCAGGTGAGGTCTCTCTTTCAGACCACAGACTTATTGTTATGTCCTCAAATGGTACAAAGGGGCATTTGATATTTTTAACTTGTGATATTTTTTCATCTTTAACTCTAATTTGCACCTAACCATATTGATTTCCTTTAGAAAAAAATAATAATTTCATTTAAAGGTTACTTTGAAATGAACCAAATAAGTGTCATGTATTTTCTTGCCCACTCACATAATTAATTACACATAAGGCACAGACACGGACATTTTAAACAAATTTGTTCAATATTAGAACCTAAAAGTTAGTTCTCTGGAAAATCACCTCTATCTGTAAGTTATAAATCTGATCTTCTATATATTTACTAGAGCCACATTGTATTCCACAGCCACAGACTATATTATCTTACAAATGCATGCTTTTAGGTTAAAACAGGATTGAGTAAGATAAAATTACATTAATCAATTTACATTATCAAAAAAAATTTGCATGTTTTACAAATAGACTGCTTATTGATGACTAAAATCCACAAAACATTTTGCTGGTACTGAATGAATTAAATTCTGGTTAGAAAGTCAAAAGGAGCTATATTTAAAAAGAAATTGACTTTGCTGACTTTGGAAAATCTCAAATCTATTCTTGTCTTCAATTGGCTTAGGAAAGAGATCTTAATTTACTCTCTTATATCTAGTCAGAGCTTAAAAGCAAGAAAACCATATAAAAATCATTATTCCCTTCTTTAGTTTCATCCTGTAGTTACCTTCTAATCTAATTCACTGACTACTCCTCAATATTCCTTGATCCAAGGAGTATTAAAATGTTTCTCTTTTGATTGGTGACCTGTAAAACTTCTAGATTACACGGTTAGGACTTCTCCTTTCCTATTTATACTGGAAGAAAGGACAAAACAGTTCTGACCTGAAGACAGAAACAGTTCTCTCTCTCCCTTTCCCATGCACTTGGGTTTCAAAGCTCTGCTGTTAATCCTCAAAGGAAACATTTTCTAAAAGGTCTTGATAGAGGAGAACCAAGATGGTGGCATAAGTAAACACCTATACTTGCTGCCTCTCACAACCACATCAAAATTATAACTAAAAGGCAGAATATCGACCACCCAGAACCGCGGGAAAGCTGGCTGAGTGGAAGTTCCACAACTAGAGAGGTGAAGAAAGCACATTAAGACTGGTAAGAGGTGCAGAGGTGCAGAAAATGCTGGCACCTGAATGTGCTGCTCTTTTAATCGGGAGGAAGACACAAGCTCCCGCTTGCTCTGAAATCCAGTTCCGGACAAGCCTCTGGGGGACCCAGACACATATGGGGAGAAACTGGACTGTCTGGCATCAGGACAGGAACGCAAGGGCAGCTTTATCACAGAAGTGCTTGCAACGATCATTGTTCCTGTATGGGGGGTACGGGATGCGGAGACATGGGGACCTCTCCAGTGCAGGGCTGACTGGCAAGCCATTACTGTTTGCTCCGCCCAGGTGATTCCCAGAGACCCTGCCCCACCCAATTTAAAACCCCACCCAAGCTGTGCGCATCGGCTTTTGCATATGAATGGCCTGTCCTTTCTTCACTTAAAACCTGTCAAACTGCAGCTGGGTAAGAGAACCCCAGAGCTTCCAAAAGAAGGCCCGGCAGCAGCAGCCTGCCTTGCGTCACTGCTGGGCCTCATCTGGGCACTTCCAAACCCCATACAAAAAGGAGGAGTCTGCAAATCTCTCTGTAGCTCCTGCTGGGCAGCCCCAGACAGAGGCTGACCTTGCACCTCCTTGGAGATCCAAGAGCCAATGTACCCAGTGGTCAGAGTGAGACCATACCGGATTACAACTCTTCACATCCATAAGTGACACACTCAAGGGACAGACTCAGTGAGCACCAAAGCCCCACTGAAGCAAGTCGTGCCCCATAAGGGTGTGTCCTGCACAACAGGTCTTCCATTGTAGACACAGCTGGTCATCACAGCCAATTGGCCTGGAGGTCAATTCCTCCCAGTGATACCAACAGCAATCAAGGGTTAACTACAACAAGACTGTACAAACAGCCCACAAAGGGGTGCACCAAGAGCATCCACCTCAGGTGACTAGGGAGGCTGAGCCACTGGGCCCTATAGGACACCTACCACACAAGGCCACTCTATCAGGAGACTTAGCAGCTACCCAGTACATAGAAACAAGGCCACTCTATCAGGAGACTTAGCAGCTACCCAGTACATAGAAACAAACACAGGGAAGCAGCCAAAATGTGGAGACAGAGAAACATGTCACAAATGAAAGAAATGGAGGAAAACAAACTACTGGATATAGAGTTCAAAACCACGGTTATAAGGCTACTCAAGAATCTTCTAGAAACCTCCGAGGAACTTAGTGAGACTTTCAAGGATCTTAATAAGAATGCCAAAAAAATGGAAAAGGACCAGTTTAGAAATTAAACATACACTGAGTGAAATAAACAATATACAAAGATCCAACAGCAGACTAGAGGGTCCCAAGAATCAAGTCAAAGATTGGGTATACGAAGAAGCAAAAAACACCCAACCAGAAAAGCAAAAAGAAAAAAGAATCCAAAAATATGAAGATAGTGTAAGGAGCCTCTGGGACAACTTCAAGCCTACCAACATCTGAATTATGGGGTTCCAGAAGAAGAGAGAGAACAAGATATTGAAAACCGATTTGAAGAAATAATGACAGAAAACTTCCCCTACCTGGTGAAAAAAAGAGCCTTACAAGTCCAGG